TCAAAAACTCCAATTTGCGAAACAAAAAATTGTAATAGAAAATTCTAAATCCCATTTCATCCAATTTTCCGAAATTCTCAATTTTTGAATTCAATTTGGGAGTCGAACTTATACATTTTTGGTCACATTTTTGCTGGTTTTTTAGAATTTGTAAATCTTATTTTTAACGAAAATTCCTTCAAAAACTAATTTTAGCTTTTCTTGCAAATCCCAGAAACTTTGAAAAATTCAAAGAACCGCCAAAACACATCTTTTCGACTTTAACTGACTAAAAATTGGTCATGAAAAGTGTAGAAAAGTGGGGAAAACTTATTAGCGGTTCGAGTGGGCTGCTATTTGAAGGAATACGGTAACTCGAAAATGATTAAAATTTGTCCAAAAATTGACAACAAAATAAAATAAGAGAGTCCAAAAAAATCCCAAAAAATTTTGCAGGATTGTCAATTCTGATTTCTGTCTGCCTGTCTGCGTCTGCCGACGAGCGTATGATGGGCTGGAACAAGGCTCACGGCCTTTGGGGAAAACGATCCGTTCAGGAATCAGCGGTTTGTTTATTTAACATGGCCTAGCTTTTTTCCACGGCCATTGAGGCTCAAAAAACTAGGCCAGTATACTCTATTCAGCGTCAAAAGAGTCCAAACAGCCTGGGAACTTTGATGGCCTAGAAAAAACTCGGCCACCAAAATTTATCTGAAAATGTTTCAGCAAGACAAACGAACGCCTCAAAACTGGAACAAACTGAACAGTTTGTGGGGAAAACGGTCGTCCGCATCGTTTGACGACGACTATTCAATGGACAATGGAGAAGAAGATGTGGCTTTGGTTCTGAAAAGGTTTGGCGGGAGTTTGAAATTTTGAATTTGTTTGAAATTTTTTTTGAATTTCCTATAAAAAAATGGGGAAGGTGCGACCCAAATTTTTCAAATTCACATTTTTTGGCGCCTAAATTCAAAATTTCAGAGGCAGAATTAATCCGAGATTCCTTGCTGGAAGAATATTTGCGAGAGTTTCAAAGTTGTAAAAATTATAACTTTTTAATGGAATGTATTTGGAAATTTTGCATTTTTTACATTGCTCAGCTTTATTTCTTTGCTTTTTTGGGATTTTTCTAGAAGTGTATAAATTCAGAAATTCAGAAATTCAGAAATTCAGAAATTCAGAAATTCAGAAATTCAGAAATTCAGAAATTCAGAAATTCAGAAATTCAGAAATTCAGAAATTCAGAAATTCAGAAATTCAGAAATTCAGAAATTCAGAAATTCAGAAATTCAGAAATTCAGAAATTCAGAAATTCAGAAATTCAGAAATTCAGAAATTCAGAAATTCAGAAATTCAGAAATTCAGAAATTCAGAAATTCAGAAATTCAGAAATTCAGAAATTCAGAAATTCAGAAATTCNAGAATTCAGAAATTCAGAAATTCAGAAATTCAGAAAATCCGGAAATTCGGAATTTCAGAAAATCAGAAATTCAGAAACTCAGAAATTCGGAATTTCAGAAATTCAGAAATTCAGAAATTCGGAATTTCAGAAATTCAGAAACTCAGAAACTCGGAAATTCAGAAATTCAGAAATTCAGAAATTCAGAAATTCAGAAATTCAGAAATTCAGAAATTCAGAAAATCCGGAAATTCGGAATTTCAGAAATCAGAAATTCAGAAATTCAGAAATTCAGAAATTCAGAAATTCAGAAATTCAGAAATTCAGAAATTCAGAAATTCAGAAATTCAGAAATTCAGAAATTCAGAAATTCAAGGATTCAGAAATTCAGAAATTCAGAAATTCGGAATTTGAGAAATTCAGAAATTCAGAAATTCAGAAATTCAGAAATTCAGAAATTCAGAAATTCAGAAAATCCGGAAATTCGGAATTTCAGAAAATCAGAAATTCAGAAACTCAGAAATTCGGAATTTCAGAAATTCAGAAATTCAGAAATTCGGAATTTCAGAAATTCAGAAATTCAGAAATTCAGAAATTCAGAAATTCAGAAATTCAGAAATTCAGAAATTCAGAAATTCAGATTTTCGGAATTTCAGAAATCCAGAAATTAAGAAATTAAGAAATTCAGAAATTCGGAAATTCAGAAATTTAGAAATTCAGAATTTCGGAATTTCAGACCAGAAAATTTCAAAAATCCATGTTTTTGACCAAATAGAATGACTAAAGGGCCCCGAGGAAGGATTCCATGTGGAATTAACTGGAATTAAAAACCAGAAGACGTTGAGAATTCAGAAGACGTGGGGTCTTCTAGTAGTTTCCCTCTTTTTCATGACACCCTTGAGAGATTTTAGAATGGAATGGAAAACAATGAAACGAAAATAGTACGATTTTGGAAAATTTCTGAGATTTTCAGATGACGTCAGAATTCAGAATTTTTGAGTTTCAGATTTCTGTTTTTTTATCTTCTGAATTTCCGAATTTCTGAATTTCTGAATTCCAGAAATTCAAGATTTACGTACTTCAGAACTTTTGAATTTCAAAAATTCAGAAACTCAGAAATTCAGAAATGCGGAATTTCCAACTTTTGGAATTCGTCGATATTCAGATTTTCCGAAGTTTAAATTTTTAAATTTCAAAAACTTCCGCAATTGTTTGAATTTTTAAAAGAAAATTTCTGAAAAAAAATCCAAAAATTCAGAAAAGCTGAAAATCACATAAAAATATCAAAAACTCCAATTTGCGAAACAAAAAATTGTAATAGAAAATTCTAAATCCCATTTCATCCAATTTTCCGAAATTCTCAATTTTTGAATTCAATTTGGGAGTCGAACTTATACATTTTTGGTCACATTTTTGCTGGTTTTTTAGAATTTGTAAATCTTATTTTTAACGAAAATTCCTTCAAAAACTAATTTTAGCTTTTCTTGCAAATCCCAGAAACTTTGAAAAATTCAAAGAACCGCCAAAACACATCTTTTCGACTTTAACTGACTAAAAATTGGTCATGAAAAGTGTAGAAAAGTGGGGAAAACTTATTAGTTTTGTCTCATTTTTCACTGCGGAAAACGAGCTAATGAGCTTTTTGCGGGCTCTCTAAGCCACGCCCCCTTTTCGGAATATACATATGTATACGTCAGAAATAAAGGAAAAAAGAGGAAAAAGGGGGAGGAGTCTCTTGGGACTTTTCAGATTGAATACAATGATAAAAATGGGTTGGGAATAGAAGAAAAGAAAAGAGCAATTTCAAATTTGTATAGATCAGAGATTTGCAGAAAATAGAGGAGATCAAAAATTATAATTAAATTTCTGAATTTCTGAATTTCTGAATTACTGAATTTCTGGATTTCTGAATTTCTGAATTTCTGAATTTCTGAATTTCTGAATTTCTGAATTTCTGAATTTCTGAATTTCTCAAATTCCGAATTTCTGAATTTCTGAATTTCTGAATCCTTGAATTTCTGAATTTCTGAATTTCTGAATTTCTGAATTTCTGAATTTCTGAATTTCTGAATTTCTGAATTTCTGAATTTCTGAATTTCTGAATTTCTGAATTTCTGATTTTCTGAAATTCCGAATTTCCGGATTTTCTGAATTTCTGAATTTCTGAATTTCTGAATTTCTGAATTTCTGAATTTCTGAATTTCTGAATTTCCGAGTTTCTGAGTTTCTGAATTTCGAAATTCCGAATTTCTGAATTTCTGAATTTCTGAAATTCCGAATTTCTGAGTTTCTGAATTTCTGATTTTCTGAAATTCCGAATTTCCGGATTTTCTGAATTTCTGAATTTCTGAATTTCTGAATTTTAGAGGTCTCCAATTTTTTACCGTATTCTAGGAAGCCCAAAAAAACGAAATCCTCTCTAATTCCAAATTCCAAATTCCTGGTCCACCAGAACAAAAAGCAGAAAAAAAATGAGTGAAGAATCCTACTGAATCCCTCATTTTCTGTTTTCTTGGATTTTTTCTTTTTTTCGAGAAATCTTGTTTTTTTTCAAAGGATGTAGATTAACGGGGATTACTGTAGGAAGAAACATAATCCAAAACAAATAATTCAAAAAATTTTCAGATTCATAAGATTAAGAGAATTTGGGAAATTTTGGAAAATTTGAAAGTTGTGAGAATTCCATGAATTGAAAATTTCAAAACTTCCAATGTTCAGCAATTCAGAAATTCGAAAATTTTGATATTCTGAAAATCTGAAAATGCTGAAAATTCTAGAAAAAAAATTCCAAAAGTTAAAAATTTACAAGAACTTATAATTTTCCCTGGGAAAATGCTGAAAGTTCCGCTTTTTCAAAATTTTGAAAAAAAACTAGATTCTAGGAAATTTCGGATTCTTTTTTGGATAAAATGTATCTTTTTTTCAACCCATATCCACTAATTAACACCCGCCTTCGCCATCTGAATCAACGCCTCCGGGGAGAGAAAAATTTGGGTCCAATTTCCAGAATCTTCTCCAAATTTCTTGTCTAACAAGGCTCACGTTTCTTCTTACTTTTCGACAAGATGACGAGTGAATACATAGAAGTCCTCTAGTCCATGACCTGGATTCTAGGCATGAAGGGATATTTTTGAAATCAGAAGTTCAAATTCTAGATTTCCAGCAATTATAAATTCTGATTCGAAAACAGGCGAATTCCACATATTTAGGTACAAAAATCAACTGTCTAGCTAGTCAAAAAGCTGAGATACAGCGATCTAAAATTTCAGACGCGAGACACTATGTGATAGAGAGAGGACGCAGACAGCGAGACACTCTAGCTGTCTGCGTCTCTTCTAAACTTCAAACGTCTGTTTCTAGGCTCCCAGATGAGCTAGAAAGATGGCTCTTGTACCAAAAATATGGAAAATATCCGGAGAATTAGGGTGTATAAGATTCATACAAGTTCAAGCAACACTTTAGCTCACAAATTGAATCTTAAAACTTTAAAATTGCAAAAATACGCTGACAATTAAATTTCTATAAAAAACGAAACATTTTAATCTTTAAACCAACGTTTTCGCTTTCCTAGGAGCAAAGATACAGCCATTTGAAGTTTCTGGAACCAGACACTATGGGAAATGGAGAGGGCGCAGACAACGAGACACTCTAAATGTCTCTTACTCTCTCGGTCCTCAAACTCCAAAGGGCTGTATCTCGGCTCCCAGAGGTGCTAGGAAATTGAAAATTGGGTCATTCTACAAGATTTTTAATTTCCTATATTTTCAACACTTCAAAATTTATTATCGTGATCTCCTATTCTCTAAAAACAGGGTGTCAAAGATCTTATCAGCAAAATCGTTGAATCACTAATCAATCGAATCGTCAAGAAAAAGCAGTATTCGATCAAAACAACTTGAGTTTTTCGTTCTCCACTTTCAGTCAAAATAGGATTCATTTCTATTAAAAGAGGTATGGGAAAATTCTGGAATTTTCTGGAATTCTGGAACATTTTTCCAGAACGAAAACATATAAAATGGGGTCGAAAGATATCGGATCAAAGGAGCTGTTCACACAATCGCTTTACGCCCAATCGGCGCCCGTCGGACCAAAGTCCAAAGAGAATATGAGTATGGCGCCGAAGAGTCTTCCAGCAACATCCGCTCCAAATGCCAATTCGTCGTTTCCTAGGTAAACTGAAATATTCTGGAGAAAATTCAGAAAATTCTAGAAACTTTGGTGAAAATTTGAACGTTCTAGAGCTTCTAGAACTCGAGATACAGGCGTTTAAAGTTTCAGGAGGCGAGAGAGCGTGGGAAGGGAGATTTTTGAGTTTCTGAGATTCTGAGATTCCAAGATTCTCATACTTGTAACGGGCCGGGCCCGTCATTTCACTAGTTTTGAAAATTTCAAAAACACATAAGGGGGACCCTTATGTGATTTTTTTTCGACCAACATTTTTTTTCGAGATTCTGAGATTCTGAGATTCTAAGGTTCTAAGATTCAAGATTCTGAAATTCAGAAATTCTGAGATTCCAAGATTTTGATATTCTGAGATTCTGAGATCCTGAGATTCTGAAATTCCGAAATACTGAGATTCTCAGACTCTGGGATACTGAGATTCTGACATTCTGAGATTCTTAGATTCTGATATTCTGAGACTCTGAGATCCTGAGATTCTGA